TCTCTCTCTCTCTTCCTCTCTCTGTCCCTCCCACCTCAGGGCCACTCCAGTCTAAATGGAGTGATTAGTCTAAAGTGGGTGCTGTCAGTGAGATCATCCTAAGATAGAGTCCTATCTGGAATAACCTGAGTCGACAGCGGACCAGCTCCAGAGAGACAGAGGGAAAGAGAGACACTATTAAATGTTATATTTGTGACAGCTGGCTCCAGGCCCTGCCACAGCCATGCCTCGTCTCAGCAGAGCCTCATCTAACCAACAAACGCTCTCTGAGCTGTGTTCATGTCGCCCAGTCTCTCTCCGTAGAGGTAATGTGGAGAGTAGAAAAAGAGGAGGAGGAAGGAAGGAAGGAAGGGAGGAAGGAGGAAAAGGGATGAGGAGAGTTTAAGTGAGGTGAGGGTTAAACCGGACTAACACCCAACACATTAACGAAATAAATGGAGACATATGATCATAAATAAATACGGTGGTTTAAAGATTAGAAGGCTTTGGCCTCCACCTGTCTCTCCGTCGTCCACCCACACAAAAGGACAAGGACAGAGCATTACAATAGGCTGCAGAGGGCACAGGCTGACAAAAGCCATTTCATCACGGGTTAACCTCATTCACACATTAATCTGCCACAATAGCTTCCTAATCACATAATCCACAGAAATTATACAGACAACACCTTTAAATTATGATTGCACAGCTGGAGGGAGGGGGGGGGGGGGGGGTAAAAAAAAGGAGAGAGGGGGGTGGGCGTGTGTGTGCAAGTGTGTGTGTGTGTGTGTGTCAACTTTGTGCTCATGAAGCTGATGTAAAACTGAGACGTGAGCTGGTTGCACACACACACACATACAAAACCACATAGTGGTGTTAAGGTTTGTCTGTATTTTTGTCAAGGGAGCGTAACACTTTACCTCTCACAAATCCCTTTGTGGGATGCATTGTTGTTGTGCGTGTGTGTGTGTGTGTGTGTGTAAACATCATTATGTTTCAGCCCGTTTAGAAATGGAAGTGATTCCTTCCACTTGACAACACATAACTGCACTAATCATGACAGTGTTAAAACACTCCACGTTATGCATGATCTTGCACACACACACACACACACACACTGGCACAAAAACACAAACCCCCACACACACACACACACACACTTGTGCACACACACTGTAGTAATGAACAGATGTATGGGCGCACTGAATGATCAACAACTCAAGTGTTTTGTTATACAGAGAGCCACTTCCCAATAAGGTCACGTTGCAAACAGCAGTTGACCTGCGAATGTATGTGAATGGCGGCAAGCGTGCGCCTGAATATGTGTGCATTTGTGTGCATGCGGTAATGTGAGCGTATAAATGAGTGTAGGTGCAACCAAACAGTTGACGTCTGAGTGTGTGTATCCTGTAACGTAGTGCCACGGAGAGATAAGTTTCTCTCCCTATGCATTTCCTCTTGAAGTCAGCTGCTCTCATCCAAATTGAGTGTAGCATGTGTACATGTGTGTGTGTGTGTGTCTAAAACTAGGCTCTTCAGTTAGACAAGGTAGGATTAAGGAGAAGGGATAGACTTTCAGAGAGAAAGAGAGAGAGAGAGAGAGAGAGAGAGAGAGATGCTTCAGAGAGCCCATCATGTATGCATTGAAAATTTCTCCCTCGCTGCAATTATTCAAGAGCTGCTGTTTGCCAGAAAGGGATGAGCGACAGGAAGAGAAGCAGGGAGAAGAGTCAGATGGTGGATTAACACGAGGTTAGATGGCGTGGGTAGGTTTACCAGAGCAGTCAATTCACAATGCCAGGACGGGAGCATGCGTGAGTGAGTGAGTGAGTGAGTGAGTGAGTGTGTGTGTGTGTGTGTGTGTGTGCGTGTGCATGTGTGTAGGTGGATAAAGTGAGTAAAAGATAAAGAGATATATACATAAGAGAGACCTGGCTGCTCCAGCAGATAGTCAGTGTCAGTAGGTAATGAAACAATTGTGAGTCGTAGTGGAGAGAGAAGGAAAGGCTTGGGAGGGAGATCAAGAGGAAAGGAGTAAAGGAAAGGACAAAGACGGAATGGAGTCTCAATTTAAAATGGTAAAAGGGAGAATGGGGACAGGAAAACAAGGAGAAAGAGAGAATATACTGAAAATAGCACAAGTATCATGTGACTCCACCATGTTAGTCAATGTAGATGGTATTTTTTTCCTGTATTTGCATGACACTGTATGTACAATGTAATGCAAGTGTTTTCAGTTCATTTTTTTACAGATGTCTTTATGGCATTTCATCCCATCATTTATGTGTTGCTTCTGTGCAGAATTTGGAGCGTCTTCCTCTAATTTAGCAGCTTTGTCTAACTGTCCGTTCATCACGCAATGAAGAAGACTTTCAGGAGGGGACGCAAGAACAGAAGTACAGCATCAAGGAGGGAAGGTGAGGACAAGAGAGACAAATAAGGGTAAAGTTAATATGAGAGAGAATTGCAAGAAAATCTGTATGAGAGTCTGGCTGGAGATGAGCAACGGGAGAGAAGAGGAGACAGAGGAAGGTTGGAAAACAAGATAAGCAGAACCGCAAAGACAGTTCAGAGTTCAGTCTGTGCTGTTTGCTAACCGCTTCATCTTTCACTGCCAAAGCAGGAAGAGAATGCTCTATTTGTAGTTATTCATGATGCATTTATACCGTAGAGTGTTGTACACTTTTTAATACGCGAGTTATAACCCTTTGTTGTCCTTTGCGACAGCACAATGGTTCAGAGGGCTTTCAATGGGTTATTGTGGCAGAAAGAAGCACACTGCATTGTGATATCACAGGAGGGAATATTTTGTGTGTGTGTGTGTGTGTGTGTGTGTGTGTGTGTGTGTGTGTGTGTGTGCGCGCGCCATCGTCAGAGGTGGTTGACACAAAGCCTGTGGAAGAATACACACCTCAGCCCCCGCTCCGACACACACTGTAACACCTACCCTTCTTTTTCAATCCGAGCGACAGGTCACACTTAATTATCAAATAGCAGAACTGAAAGGAAACTTTTAAAAAAAGCACACACAACTTTCCGTAACTGTGAACTGTGACGAGACGAATACAAACATTTCATTCAACACATCATTTCCGCACCGTTTCTCACTTGTCAACCCTCGCAGATAAGTTGAAAAGGAAGGAGCGTCTTTTGTGACGGCACACGTACACTTTAAGACGATACACACATTACAAGCAGCGTGCACGCAGCCGCGCACACGCACATCAAACACAAGCCCGAGCAGTGAAAGCTCTGGCTTGTTAGCTAATCAGATTGTTCTCGCTGCAGGCTTGCCTCTAAACATATAGAGCCTACACCCGCCTGACGTTAAAAGCCTGACTTAGTCCTGCTGAATATTGCATGGCGCTAATGTTTCACAGCCTGGCACAGATTGGTAAGTGCGGGTGTAGGGCTGAGATTGGAAAGACAGTGGCAAGATGAAGTTTTCTCATTTCCTGTCTCTTTACTGCTCTTTTTTACTGTTTCTTATTTTCATTCCTGTTGTTGTTCTGTCTTTAAACACATGTCCTCATCTACACCCATTGACTCAAAATAGACTAAATAATGGCAACACTTCACGAAAAAAAGACTTGAACTCGAAAGTAACTTTGTAAATTCATCACAAAAACAACTTTACATGTGAAGGTTTCAAAGAATCATGCTGCACGCAGCCCAACCGACCCGTTTTCACTCCTTTTTCTCATTTCAATGATGACTTTAATATGCCAAACTGCTCGATGCGTCATCAGTGTTAAATAGAGAACTTTCCCGAAATGAAAAATAGCTCAAAAAGTTGAAAGCTTCCTGGTTTAGATCAGGATATGAGAATAAGAATAAGCCTTCAGTTCCAACTTTCAATGCTAACCCCTTTTCAATTCTCGATGCTACACACACATTTTGGTATAGGTGCTCACAAACATTGAGGTTTGATACACAGCCCTATTAGTTGTCACAAGTTAAAACTAACCGACCAGTAATGTGATGGACGGACACTCATAATGTGAACCAGCTTTAAAGCAGTGGAAGTACTTTTTCTCTCGCTCCGTAACAACTCTGTCACCTCTCTCTCCATGACCTTTCAAATGTACATCTTCTGTCACTTTCTGCCCCTGTATAAATATATCTTCAGACTCTACTTTTCCTCTTTATTTCCCTCAGTCTCTTTCTTCTTCCCTTGTGTGACATGTCCTGTTAGCATTAGTGAGGCGGCTGGGTGGAAAACCATCTGTTTCGTGTACCTCTTTAGCCCATTATGTGGTTGTCTGACTAGAGCACTCACAAGGTATGTGTATGTGTGTGTGTGTGCGTGTGTGTGTGTGTGTGTGTGTGTGTGTGTGTGTGTGTGTGTGTGTG